TTTCTTCAATTGCTTTAGCTTCTGAACCGTCCAACCCTCTTTGTACTTGTTGTTCATGATATTTCCCCCGTACCTTTTTCTGCTTATGTGACTTTCCGGGAGGTTTTGTTTTTGGTTTAGGAGAGTTTTGGGACACTTACTCCCTAAAACGGGAGCTTAAGTCTTAAGATTTTGACCGTAGTCATAACTGTGTGAATACGACTCAGGAATGGAGTTATGTTAGTTTCGTTAGCTCCATTAGGTGATTTTGGACTTAGGGGCATGTACGGATAGAGTTTTGGAGGTCCGTAGCTTATTTAGGCGTGAAATAGCGAAAGTTGAATTGTTGGAGTTTTGGACCGGTAGTGGAAATTTTGATATCGGGGTTGGATTCCGATTTCGAAAGTTGGAGTAGGTCCGTAATGTTGAATTTGACTTGTGTGCAAAATTTGGGGTCAATCGGACGTGGTTTGGTTAGTTTCGGCATCAATTGTCGAAATTGAAAGTTTCAAGTTCTTTAAGTTTGAATCGGAGGATGAGTTGTGATTTTAGCATTATTTGATGTGGTTTGAGGGCTCAACTAAGTTCGTATGGTGTTTTAGGATTGGTTGGTATATTTGGTCGAGGTCTCGGGGGCTTCGGGTGAGTTTCGGACCCCCAACAGATCGATTTTTGGACTTAGGCGGTTGCTGAAGTTTTCTGGTGTCTGAGTCCTGGTTTCCTTATACGCGATCGCGTGGGGTGATCCGTGATCGCGTAGGCTTAGCTGGGCAGAGGATGGAATTATTCTTCGCATTCACGGACTTGGACATGCGAACGCGTAGTGATGCGAGGTGGTGCTCGCGAACGCAAAGACAAGGTCACGATCGCGTAAGGTTAAGTGTACCAAAGCTGGGCCACACGCTTTGCTCATCATGAACGGGTGAGGACGTTCACGATCGCGTGAGTATGTGAGCCAGAGCATCGCGTTCGCATGGTGTTTTACGCGATCGGGTATAGTAAATTTATGGGGAAGCAAAGTTGCTCTTCGCGATCGCGAGGCTACTTCCGCAATCGTGATTAAGGCATCACTGGGCAGTATTATGTTTCCAAAAACGGGGGTTTTGACATTTTTATCAATAACTTGAGTTGGGAGCTCGGATTTGGACGAGATTTTGAGGGATTTTCAAAGATATCGATTGGGTAACGATTCTTAACTCCTTTATGGTTATATCCCACTAATCTATCATTAATTTCCTCTTTAATTTCGGATTTTGGGGTTGAAATTGGAAAATATTTGGAAGAACTTCTTCAACAAAGATATCGAGTTTTGAAAGGGGATTTGTGGTAGGATTTGAGTAAATTTTATATGGTTAGACTCGTGAGTGAATCGTATTTTGTGACTTTTGCCCGATTCCGAGATGTGGGCTCGGGTCAACTTTTTAGGACGGATTTCGGAATTTTTATCTAAATTTTTATTTCATTAATTATATTAGTTTATTGTAGTTATATTTATGATATGTACTTATTTTTTGTTAGATTTGGGGCATTCGGAGTCAGATATTCGTGGAAAAGACATTGTTACCGATGGATTTAGCTTGGTTCGAGGTAAGTGACTTGCCTAACCTTGTGGGG